GCCTGGCGCTGCTGATTTAAACATAAAAGAAATGATGATGAATTTGGATAGAGAATCAGTAAGTTTTTTGACAAATTTTGCATAATGTAGAGCTTTTTGTTCGTTATCTTCACAGCAAAATTTAGCTTCTACACGTGGATTGTTGCCAAACAGTACACAGCAATCGTTTATAGTCAGTACTAATAAAACGTTTCGGCAACAGTTCGATCTTTTATTGAATAATTACAGAGTAAGTCTCTCATGCTTAAACTAGGACATATAAGAAAAAAGTATATCTATGCTATATTGGTTTTAGACTCGAATTGCATCACGGCCCCGAAAGAAGAAGGATGATTTTGAACATGAATCAGAAACTATGATGAACTCATGTAGAAATTTAAATGATTTTTTAGGCGCATTTATTGATCACGTACGTATACGTTTCTCTCGGAGTTTATTTTCAACGATATTATATTTTGTATTTTAGTCATTAACAAATCTCGATTACAATGTTCGAGAGCGACTTTTAATGGAGAAAATTGTCAATTTTGAATTTCGTCCATATGCAGATACTGTATTTTATACGGGTATGTTACTAAAAAAGAATATCAAAAACAAAAAAATCAATTTTTATCGATTTTATTCCCAGATCCTGATAGAAACTTTACTCGTACACTATTTTATGCTCAAGAACAAGCGTTGTTCATTTGGAATATGGCCACATTTTGTGTAGTTGATTATATTGCAACAAACTATGTTTTAGCTGCTATCGTCACCTATATACTAAATAAGGTAAGAACAATTTTATAATTTACTTAGTATAGCGCATAGTTAAATTACTGCACAATTCTTTTATTCTTCATTTTAGATTGCTGTCATGTTGAGAAATTCGTTTGGACGAAGAAATTTATCTCGAAAAACCTTAATTCCAAACAACTTTCTGATTTAAATACTCAATCTCTTACAGACGATTGTGATAGTCAGTGTCATCATTCTGTAATTGTTTTTGTACAAATTTTTGACTGCAGATAAACATTACATGGATATAACCTATGTAATAGGATATTTCTGAGAAGATATCAATTCATTTAGAGTGGAATAATCAACCGTATATAGTATTCCATTACAAAATCTAATATTTTGAAAACATTAACAATAAAACCAGAAAAACACAGCACAAGAACAAAGATGGAATTTCTTGATAAAAATATATAATGTCGAGCGTGGTTAATGAATGCAAGTCGTACGTACTCTAGTGCAACATTCTCGATATGAATGGATATTCAAACCGAATGGATATTTTAACACTAAAACTCTATAATTTTTGAAATTTGTTGGTAGAGCAGTTGGAAATAAGTATTTGTAAATCGAATATAATAGCAGTTCTATATTCGATTTACAAATATCTATAATTTTTGTTTCTCAACGACTAACTGGTAGATGTGTTGGTATTTTAACTAAAACTAGAAGTACAAGATTTTACAGCTATAACACACACTCGTTCGTTAGTCGGTACTCGGGGTTTCTCCTTTGAAAGAAACTTATTTACACAATCGATTCATGAGAGATCCAGTATTTTCGTTTTACAAATTTCCGTAACTGGAAGTTTAGGATCATACTAAAGTCTTTGAAGTACGTAAATCGTAATAAGTCGTGAACTACCGATAGGAGTGTCGACAACCTGATTTTCTTATACGCGAATATCAGAGTGTGAAGAATTTAAATTCTCTACTAGTATGGATCTATAATATAGATCACCCCGTGACATACAATCATGATCTTGATCCAAGATATCTTCACTCACCATTTTGAAATTTCTGTTCATACGATCTTGGCCAAGATCTTAGGTACAAGAAATTCTATTAGGACAGGCTCCTGTAGGTTTAAGCGTACAGAACGTCTTGAGCTAGACTAAATGTTTTGCTCACATTATTCTTATTCATACTGTGAAATCATATTAGAATGTATTACAATTGATTATATTATAAAAGTTTATAATAAAAAATTTATAATCCGCAAAACAATTGTTTCTAATAGAATAGAGGGCAAAAATGATATTTCAAGAGTTTATTAAAGTTTTCTACAGATAAGAAATGAGAAAACTCAAGTTTCTGGTTAACTAATGCAATCAGAATCAATTTCAAATCTAGATCAACATTTTCGTCTTGAACACAACAGCTCAGGATAACGAATGTTAAAATAAGAGCTTGCAAGGTCATACAGGATTTTAGAAGATCTTATTTCAAGACTTCACAAGATTCGACAAGATCTTGCAAAATTGTTCAAGAAATGTCTGCAAGATTCTTCTATAAATAAGATTTCTTTTGCAACAACCACATAAGAAAGAATTCATCAACGATGTGCCTCGTCCTGTCTCACAGATTCTCTTTATACTCTGTTTAAAACTAGATTTTCCTTTTGATAATATTTTCTGGCATAAATAGGATCATGTCTAACCATGCTCCGTATAGCCACGCAGAAAAACGGTAACATTTAGTAATTTTCTTCTGAATTATTCTCGACCTTATTTATGCTCTTTCTTACTGATGCAAGTTTTTGATATGATAAAACATTATTCCCTAGTCGAGACTCCCGGCAAAACTCCCACGGGGTCCTGCGGGAGTCAGATGGAACTTTCAAGGGATTTCTCAGGACTTCTGAGAACTCCCGTGAGACTTTGAGGATTCTGAGGACTTTCGTTGAGCTCCCGCAGGACTCGAAAGTTTTGTAGGAGTCCTAGAAATTCCTTGAAAGTCCCACCTGACTCCTGTAGGATCCCGTGGGAGTTTTGCCGGGAGTCTTTCAACTGAATAAGATAAAATGCAGCTATCTAATTTTTGCTATACAATCAAAATGTCTGTAGTCGTTCTCCTAATTGTGTTACAGATGCCAGCATAATATATATTGCATGATAAAAAGGTATGCAAGTGTTGCTTATTTTATCGAACGACCTAGATCCATGAATCCTACCAGGTCCTATACAGTACGAGCCATGATTTTTGTTGGATTTCATAGGATGCGTATCAGAGTAAGGGGTAGAGGGGTTCATAAAACTTTATATTGACAAAAAAGTTTTGAATGAAATTGGAATAAAAAGAATTGAATTAAATAAAAAGCTGAATGTTTATTTCTGAATTGTTTCTGCTAATTCTGAAGTCGTCGAATGACTAATTCTGAATTTTAGAAATATATAAAAACTGGATGCTAATTCTTGAATTCTTTCTGCTAATCTTGAAAATTTTGTCAATATAGAGTTCTATGAACTTCCCTGCCCCTTACTATGATACGCATCCTATGAAATCATACGAGGATCCTATGTAGGATCCGATCAGATCATGTTGGATCGTACTGCAGGATCGGGTAGGATTCATTGACCTGGGTAGTTCGATAAAATAAGGAACACTTGCATACCCTTTTATCATGCAATATTTACCGGCATCTGTAACACAATTAGGAGAACGACTACAAACATTTTGATTGTATAAACGTTTTAACCACTCATTTCTCATTCTGTTTGAGATGACTCATTAGAAAACATTTTCTTTTGAAGGAAAAAAAGTAAGTAAGTAAGTATACCCAGATACCTTTCGGTGTAGAGTGAGACAAATAAAAAGAAAGACAAATAAGCGAAGAAAGAAAAGAAAATGCACTGATTGACATGCCGTATACTTCCCACGTGTTTCTTATGTTGCTCTAATGCTTCTACCACTTTCACATGAGGCAAAGTCGACTCGTGAGAAGTTGTGTGATAACAATGAGCGGTGTCATGTATTACATTAGTGACTGGAGAAAATATATTCGTTTCTCAAAAAAACTCAAGTTAAATAGAGGTTATGCAATAAAAACCACCCATATTCTAACAAATTTAGATTATTTTTATGAAATTTTTTGAACAAAATCCTTTTAAAATTATTTTCTATCTAATAATTGGCGTTGTATAGTTGATGTTTACTTATTTTTAGATAAGATCGAGCCATGGATCACTCAATGGATCCGTATGTAAAATCTCCGTATGACAATTTAGTTATTTACAATGTTTATGTGAGAAATCATTCAAAAAATGGCACATTTGCTGATGTGAAAGATGATCTAAAGCGGTATGTGTTGATCTATTCAATTCATCCAATCTCGTGTATCCCATGAGGATGTATTGTTTATAGAATTCAGAGTATGGGTGTTGATTATATTTGGCTACTGCCCATTCATCCAATTGGTAAGGTGAAACGCAAAGGAACACTCGGTTCACCTTATTCTATCACAAATTATCGTGAAATCAATCCTGAATTTGGAACTTTGGATGACTTTCGTGATTTAGTTAACGCGATACACGACTTAAAAATGAAAATAATGTTAGATGTTGTGTTTAATCATACAGCACACGATTGTGAATGGATACACACACATCCACAATGGTATTACAGAGATAAAAATGTAACTTGAATGTTATTATTGAATTTATTTGCTGAATGGATTTATGTTTAGGGTCAACCAACAGCTAAAGTGGCTGAGTGGTCCGATATTGTGGATTTAGAATTTCGTGGAAATGAACATGATTTGTGGCCAGAATTGATTGATAGTCTCAAATATTGGATTGAACAAGGAGTAGACGGATTTAGAATGGATGTGGCTAGTAGTGTACCCATTGAATTTTGGTATAAAAGTTGTTACAAATTATCAAACCATAACACTTTATATTGATGTATGTTTTAGGAAATTAGCACGTTCGGAATTATTAAAATTGAAACCGAATGTTCTATTGTTAGCCGAATCAACACGTTTAATCTATATTGAAGGTCATACACGAAAGAATGAATATGTCAATACTGATGCTGTTTTGTATCAAGCATTCGATCTATGCTATGATTACGATTTGTATCAAGTATGGCGAGCAGCGATGGCTGCAGCTGTACCAATTAAGATGTATTTAGAATTGGTTCGATTACAAAATTCAATATATCCAAGAAATTTTTGTAAATTAAGATTTGTAGAAAATCATGATCAAGAACGAATTGCTAAAATATGTAAAAACAATCGAGTGAAAGGATTAGCATGGACAGGTACGGAAAAAAGTTTCATTTGAAAATACATGCTTAAAATCTGAGCACGGTACAAATGTAATTGTAAATTTTTACTTATAACATATGAGTCATAAGAATAACGAGAAATTCTCATTATCCGAACTAACATTGAGATCAATGTAATAGTACAATTGAATTTCAGAATTTAATTTACTGTTAACAGTATGAATGGTTTCCTGACGATGATACTATTTTCTAGGAAACAATTATGTGTTTGCTCAAAAGTAATAATAACAGCTGTAAGCTTATAATATTATTGCACATCATTTTTTACTCTTATTTGAACAACGCGCATTGCTAATTTTTTGTTTTCTTTTTCACTACTTTTAGCGTTTACTTCGTTCAACAAAGGTACATTTTTGTTACATGGTGGTCAAGAAACAGAAAATACAACAACATCGAGTTTATTTGAAAAAGATTATGTTGACTGTAAAAGTATTTATTCGCTAGGAAAATTTATGACAAAATTAATACAAATTAAAAAACATCCAGTTGTACAAACAGGAAGGTAACATTCTTAAATCAATTCAATGATTCTATACAGTATATCATTCAAATGAAAAGTATCTCATAGAAATCTTTAATTATTATATTCCTACTTTCTTTGGAAACAAAATATTCGACACGCTCTGAGACTATTCACATATTCATTTTTGGTAGCAGATAAAGGATGTCCCACAAGTTCTGAAACGATTTCTAGAACGATGAATTTACAAATCGTTTCACAAAAAAAAATTCCTTACTATACCAAACGATAGACAATTTAATTCTCTACAAGATTGTATATTCATTTTTGATATTTGACACAGTAACTTTAACAGGAAAAGCTCCAAACTTCTTAACCTTCAAAAAATCGACTTTTTGCGCAAAATCTCGCTAAAAATCACTCATTCAACAAAACAAGGTATACCGAAAAATTCAGCAAGAAATTTTCTACAATATGATGTCTTTTTAATGACAAACAATGATTTTTTTAGATGAAATCAGAAGAAAAAAGAGTCTTTAAGAAAGATCATTTTCTCCTATTTTTCGGCCATCGTAGCGACAACCAGTATTCACTAGTTTTTCAGGTAAAAAAAGTAGTAGATTTATTTGTAAGTTACACAGTCTGATAGAGCGCGAAATTCTGTATTTTTTGGTCTATAAACGAATAATTTGAACTTTGGATTTTATACTGGAATAGTCAAAACTTCTTTTTAGTGCTAGAAACTTCAGTGAACTTGAAAGTTTATGTATTAAAGCTACTAGCAATTAAAATAAATTTCCTTCAGGTAAACAAACGCTTTTGTAAAGCATGAAATTCTTCACCATTTGACTGTAATAAAATTATTTCAAAGCTTTTTGTACTCATTATAAACAATTAAAAAAAGAGAGCAGTTTGTACTTTAAAACACGTGGTACAGTTAAAATTTGGAGCTTTTCCTGTTAGACTTACTGTGTTAAACATCAAAGATGAATCTTAAAAACGAATATACAACCTTGTAGAGAATTAAATTGTCTATCGTTTAGTATAGTAAGACATTTTTTTTTTGTGAAACGATTTGTAAATTCATCGTTCTAGAAATCGTTTCAGAACTTGTGGAACACCCTTTATATCTTCTTTCAAAGATGATCTATATTGGTTTTTCCCGTAGACTATACAGTCCCTCCTCAATTCAATATAACATATCTAAAGAATCTTATCTTCTAAATCTGTCTAGCTGCTGAAAGCGTTTATGAAGGCTTTGTGAGATAAAAAATTTTAATCCTCATCTTACGCTGAAAATTCGGTTACCGTCCTTGTAGCAGTCAAGTTTTGGTCTATATTGTATTTTTCTTCAAATTTAGATTTGTGTTAACTCATCATAGTCCGTGTATTGTGGGTATTTGGGAAGATGAAGTGTCAAAAGAAGGTCTCATTGGGGTTTTTAATGTTGAACAAATTGCTAAACAAGATGATGAATTAGAAATATCGAATTTACCCGATGGAACGTATCAAAATTTGCTTATTGATTTAGGACTGAAGGGTGAGAATACATATGAACAAGACGTAGAAATCAACGTCAAAAATGGAAAATTGAAAGTACCACAACTGGCATGTATTTTACATTATAAACAATTAATATTAGATCCACAAGTGTTTTACAGTGATATATTCGATTTTAATTATAGAGGAGGAATGTGAATGACTTTATTTTCTTTTTATGTAGTATAGTCAAATGTCTTGTTTACATATCTTAGTGAATATTTTTTCATGTAGGGACTTTTATTCATGCACATTTATCTATATACTAGCAAAAGAAGAATTCAAAAGAGTCTTCGATCCTCACAAAATAAATTCAAGTCTTACTGACATGAATGAAAGTTCTTGTCACCTTCTCATAATTTTTCTGCATCTGACTCTGTCTATGAGACATAAGAAAAAGGATGAAGAGAGCGATTTAGTCTCAGAAAGGTAGAGTCGTATGGTTAAAAAAAAAATGAGAAAACATATCAGTAAAGGAATTCATTTCTTCCATTCTTAACTTTTTCGTTAATTTATATTATGTGTACAAACTTTGCATTTGTAAAACCATGCATCTTGTATATGTATCTTTCACTGAAGAGCTTGAGAAAGATAGACACCCAACAGTTCCGGAGAATCCTCACAGAGAATGGGAACACCAGCAATGTTAAAACTAAGAGTAACTGGAGGATCGACTGATACGGAGAAATAAGTTCATGAACACTTTTCGGGGTATATCAGTGACAGTCTAAAACGTTTTAAAATGCGTTTTTCTTTAGAAAATTTTATATTCTAAAACGATTAATTTACTTCAGAAACATTTATTTTGCTGAACTATCCTAGAGCTTTTTAAAAGCTAGGCAAACTCACTCTGTTTCATGAATACTCCCATTGAGAACAGTTCAAAGATGTTTCATTTTCTCACAATTCGTAAGCAGAAACATACTACAACGAAAAAACAAGAATATTCATCATGCTGTATAGCGAATTGCAAAAAAATTCACTTTTGACCACTAGCGGAGATGGATGATCAAAAAACTGAAAAAAAGTGGTTATATTTGTGCAGTCCGTTATAAGATAATCTAATGTCGGCCCAAGTTCTGTTAGACTGCCCGAATATTCGAGTACTTGTCGTAATAAAACAATATGATCGATTAAATCATAATGATTAATAGCAAGCAAAGTTGCCATTTTTTGTTAGTATATTGATTCGATATCGTCTAGGTGAGAAACTATGATTATTTCCCATGACAGAATACTCTTAAATAGTATGACGCTATAATAATATATACATATATATAAATTGATATATATATATACATTTATTTCATACAATAAATCCAATTTGTTTTTCCATTGCATCATGTATCTAGCTAATTGAAGTGAAACATGTTAGCATTTTCCCCGCTTAGAAACAAAGTATCCACTTCCAAAAATACCAGCCACTCCTAAAAAGATGAATAAACGTATATTGATGCACAGTGGGCATTTTTCTATAGAGCAGGCGGACATATGCTGTAGAACTGGTATGAAAGCCTATAAACATGTTTTTCTATTGGTTTTCGAATATGCTCTTTCTAATGATGGGATTTTCAGAACTCAGAAGTAATTTGTGAGTTTTCTAGAGACCGGATCTCTGAAAAACCCATAAAAAATATTTTTACATTTCGAAAACCTCACTATTGGAGAGATCATATTCGAAAACCTATAAAAAATATGTTTATACACTTGTGTACTATTGCTAAAATAAATATCCAACTTCCTAAGCAAAATTTTTCTGCGGACAAGCTTTCAACTGTATAGTTCAGTTTGACCGAAAATATTTCTGCAGAAAAATTAAAAAGCTACATATCATTCGACGTAGTTTTTCACGGTGATTCTGAATATGACTTTATGTTATGGAAAAAGTGCTCTTATGGGGGAGAAAAACGCCTCGAAACCCCCCCGAGAAAAGACGAGATCATTATAAATACACGATAGACTGAGGAACATTTTCATATAATTAGAAGGTCTGTTCAGGCTTAGCGCTTTTTAGCACTGTTACTGCACTGAGGTTGTCTCATGTCGGACCGTAGTAATCTAGACTACTAGACCTTTTTTCGTTTCGTACAAGATGCAAAAGGAGTACCTTCTATTATCAGGAGATGCAATAGGTTGTGCTGATTCCGAATATGTGCTTTGGATAGGGTAATATTGCACGTCTGTACATAGAAATAAGAATCTTTGCAGATGTGTCATATTTGACGGTGTTTTTTGTGAATGTTCGTAAGTTAACTTACTCATCGAAGGAGTTCATTACTAGTCGATCATTATATACCATTCGATAGCGCTTTTCAAGGACTACATTTACTACTGTTCGAATTCAAAAAAAACTCACTTGTCGATTTTTGCTCAAATTTCCGCCTGAACGCCCACTATGTGATGGTATTTAGTTTTTTAATTCTGTATGCTTTTATTGTCTTTTTTTCCGTCCACACGTGTCAGAAAATAAAAGCTGACAGAAAATAAACGCTCTCTGTTCGGACAGAGTTCTTCTGCCTTTCTGAATCTTTTTGTATCATCATTACGTCAATACAATAATTATCAATGTGTCAGAGTGGATATTTGATAATGATGCGAAAGCAGCTGCTTTACTTCACAAGCAAGGAGGGGTATAAATAGTACCTTCACCGAAGAGTCGATCTGCAAACATATTTTTTTTACATAGTGCAGAATTAATGGGAATTGCATAGTATTGGAACAATTTCGACAGCTTTTAAGAATGGGATTAACCGACGTTTGAGCGGCCGACACTTGAACGACCGACATTTGAGCGACCGACATTTGAAGGACTCCAACAATCGAGCGAAGCGCACCACTTATAGCTACTCATCCCCACCCTCACTCACCCTCATCCCCACTCACCCTTACCCCACACAGCCTCGCCCTCTACAGATCTCCAAATAATTCAGTTCATAATCGGACGACAAAAAGATTGTTCTCATCATCGTTATTAATCGTTATCGAAGTGAATAATCATTCGACTTTCCTGATCGGCAAAAAGTCATCTTGAAAAGTGTCTAATGTCGGAGTCGCTCAAATGTCGGCGCTCAAATGTCGGTCGCTCAAACGTCGGTTGACATAAGAATAGTTATTTCATAATATTAATCACACAAATCGTTCTCTGTTGCATCCAACTATAAGTCCGTATAAGGAGGAACTTGACAGTATCGAGTTCCACCACCACGAACAACCAAAATCGCAATACAGTTTTCACAGGAACCCAAAAATGATTTGCCTGTTGTATAAAAAATAGCTAATAAGTCATCAGCTAGTTACCAATATCGAACAGCTGTAGCATTATTTCACACCTTAGGTTTGTGATTTAAACATTAGAAAATTAGGTGCGCCGTACCAAACTTGACGAAGCTAACGTAGTATATGCACAATTTCAAGGCGAACCCGACAGCAGGCTTCTTCTATTCCATTCTGAGTTTCTGGAGGGTCGTCACAGTCTCCGTGATTTCTTTCTTATTAATTAAAAGAAAAATGTTTTCCCTTCGAAATGAGACATTTCTCAGCTCTGTATAAGCTTCCTCTGGAGTGATGTGATTTTGGCAAAACGTAGCGCACTTATGTCCGTAAACTGGACAGACATATGAGGGACAAATGCCAAATTTCAACAAAAATCGGTTGTGATCCAAGTTTATCTATTCATATTTTTGTTCATACTTATTCTTTCAAGTGCTAAACACCAATTATTTTAACAGAAAAGTGATTAATAAAACATACGCAAGAACTTTGTCTTAAATGGGAGAAAAATATGTGAAGGATAGCATCACAACATTGAGGCAGAATAGTCAAATGTTCGCACTATGTATGCTATATTCTTAGGCGCATTCCATATTCCGAAAGCGTTCATAAAGATGCAGTCGAGTATATCAGTAGCAGTAAGAATTCGGTGTTCCATTTTTCTTATCATAAATGGATTACATATGAAGTGGAAATTAAAAGTCGACTTTCTTAGCGCCAGAAGGAATGAGCTCTAACTTTGCAGAAAACTTTGTTTATTCTTCGAGATAATAATAATGTTTAAATAAAGTGTCGAGGTCGTTTCGTTTTCAAAACGCCAGCGAAGCGCCATCTATTTGCTGGCGTTTTGAAAACGAAACGACCTCGACACTTTATTTAAACATTATTATTATCTAGAAGGTTAAACAAAGTTTTCTGCAAAGTTAGAGCTCATTTCTTCTGGCGCTAAGAAAGTCGATTTTTAATTTCCACTTCATATGATTGTAGATGTCTGCGACTTTTTAGTTTATATGAGGGTGAGGGTGATAAAGAGGGTGGTAAAGTATTTACTGATATTGATATCATACCATGTCATCTCTGATGTATTTATATCGCAAGAAAGGATTGCAAGAGAATTTATATAGTCGCCTTCTAACTGTAATTTGGTCATTCAGTAAGTATCAAGTAAAACAGAACACAAAAATAAAACTTTTTCTTTTCTGTCTACCCTATTGCATTACGCGCATAAATCTTGCGCAACTCTGGGTAATAAAGAAAAAAGAATCACTGCTTTGACTGTATGAAAGACATTAGTCAAGCAATGGTAGATGATAGTAGTGAATCAATACTCGCATTTAAAAAACAAAATGAGTTGATCATTAAACAAAATACCTACTTGAAGCAACTACATAAAGAGTTAAAAGGCAAATCATGTGATGTAATACAAACGGCTGAACGAGCATTTCAGGCTGTCGTCATTTTTACACAACATGAAGGTGGTAGTGGTGTGTGTATTAGTGAAGACGGTTTAATTTTGACTTGTGCACATTGTGTTTACGATGTAGATGATGAAAAAGATGAAATTAATATTAGAACAACAGGAATTGGTATTAACAAAACAATTCTGTTTACATCTGGTGATCTATGTCATACTGAATGTATTGCTTGGGATCCCATTAGAGATTGTGCATTATTAAAAATAATTTCATCATCTTCTCGAACAAAAGTCTTTCAGTTTATATCTATTTTAAAGTCAACAGCAAAATCGCACCTGTTATTATGTATAGGTCAACCAGGTCGAGATGATTTAGAATCAAAAACACTTAAAAAAACTAATTATCCGTTGGTCTATACATCGTTGGGACGCTTTCGAGGTTATTTACATGGTGGTAAGAAATTACAGAATAATAGTGAAATTGGACAATTAAAACACAACTGCTGGACATATTGGGGACATTCGGGTGCACCTTTAATCACACAACAAGGAAAATTATTTGGACTACACAGTTCATGGGATGATAAAACAACAATGAGACACGGAATTCCTCTAGTGGCAATAGAAAATTTTTTAAAAGATTTTAAAAATCTAGAGAAGAACTGAAGTCTGCCAATCTCAAACAATAAGCTGTTCATCAAAGCAGAACTTCGTTGGCTACCGATTTTCTTTGAGAGACGTTTCATGTGTGCGCCAAAAATGCGCATAATATGGTCAAAATTTATTTTGCAGTTAACTATATCTTTTACATTCTCCGTTTGAATTTACTTATAAAACTTTTTGAAACGTATTTACGAGAGAAGCTATGGACATCCCCACCTCCGATTCCAATGATTTATATGTCGATCGATAGAGCATAGCGAGCTAGTAAAAACCCTAAAAGGATCTATCCACATGAAAGGCCCACATGTGGAATCTTGAAGGCCCGGTTTTCTGGAAAAACGCTTTTTCAAGAATGCTAAAAAATAACCAATCTCAATGAGGCATAATTATAGCCCGCAAATTTCTGATTAAAACGAGACATCTCCCAGCTCTACACCACCTTTCTTTGCAAAGTTATACAATTTACAAAAAAAGCCCTAAATGTTTATTGTCAGGTCAAAGCTATAGAAAGAAATAAGAAGTAATAAGAATAATTTAGGGCTTTTCTTGTAAATTCTATTCTATAAAGAAAGGTGGTGTAGAGGTGTCTCATTTTTTTACTAGCTCGCTATGCTCTATCGATCGACATATAAATCATTGGATCGGAGGTGGGCATGTCCATATGTTTCCTCATTAGACTAGAACGGTCGTTCCTTATGCAAAATTTTGTTGATTAGTCGCTGCTTTCTGCGTTTGTTTTAGCCAAACTCTGTGTAAATTAGCTCTATAGTATTACTGGAGTAAATGTACTTTTGATCATCAAAAAAAGATACTTTTAATCACCAAACATATTTAGATACAAATGATCACCAAAATAGGATACCTTTGGTTACCAAATTTTTCAGCATGCATTTCACATTTTTATTTCTCAACAAAGTACAATGTACAGCACAAACATATTCATTGAGATTTAACCAAACGAACAATATTTTTACAGTTTTATTTATATCCCTTTAAAAAATTTAAAACTGTGCTAACTTTCTTGGTGCGCCCTTTTGCTTTTCGTGTGCCTACTGGTTGAATACGTGTTTTATTGCTAACTCGATACAAGTTAAATAAACTTGCTAATCCAACAGAATGTTTACACGAATATACTAATAATAGTACAACAAGCGAACAGAATATTTTGCCACACTAGAAAACTATTGAATGTATTATTGGCTAGGTATTTATCCTTCCCGTCAGTGGGTTATATTCAATGGTTTTCTGGAGTGACAACAATCCTGTTCACTTGTTGTACTATTATCAGTATATTCGTGTAAACATTCTGTTGGATTAGCAAGTTTGTTTAACTTGTATCGAGTTAGCAATAAAACACGTATTCAACCAGTAGGCACACGAAAAGCAAAAGGGCGTACCAAGAAAGTTAGCACAGTTTTAAATTTTTTAAAGGGATATAAATAAAACTGTAAAAATATTGTTCGTTCGGTTAAAATCTCAATGAATATGTTTGTGTTGTATATGCTTATAAAATTGTTATGCGTTATAAAAAGATTTCTGGAAAACAAAGCATATAATCTATTTGAATTTTTGTATTCTCAATAGTATTCGTTTTAAATCAATTAACTTATATATTAGTCGAATGAGCAGAAAAAACTGATTTTCCAAAAATCTCCTAGAAAACTTAGTTTGTAGAAAAATTCTGAAACGCTTTTTCATTTAAAAACGATGTTCCTAAGTCTGTTCTTTCGATTCGCAAAAATCTCGAATGTCTAGCTGTTTTCGTTCGAGAGGTATTCGAGAAACATGCACGTGCATTATATTTTAAAATGGATCGTAGTGGCGTACACACGGTATGAATATGGAGAGATGTCATAATTCCATTACGACTCGGATCGGCAGTTTTTCTATCATTAGCTTCACACTTTAGTATACTTTTTTCCGCAGGAATCCTTATAAATATGACGATCGAAACCTAGAAAGACAATACACAGTACCGATTCGTACACAGATATACGTCATAGAGAAAGAAAAGATATGATAGTCGTGACTGTCTGAGTTAGGACTTGTTTTGAATATATCGGTAAGCATACAGGTGCGTATAGGTAGTTCACAAATGATTACTTTTGTTTGCATAGGGAAGAGATTAACTTATTTCGAACTTATTTATAGAAATTTTATAGGAGAAAAGTTAAAAACATTGAAATTTTAAATTCATTAGCAGCACGCTAAATTTTTCAATGAATGAATGACAAAATTTCCATTTTTTCATTGTTTTTATTTCTCAAAGCTTGTTTTTTTCTTATTCAGCACGTAAAACTGCGTCTAAAAACCGAGATTTGACATTATTTAAATATAATGTGATTATAAAATCTTTTGAACCAAATGAAACCGTTGAAATGGTCTTGGGATAATTTGAAAATTGATCTAGTTTTTGTGTTTTTTTACTTCGTTCTAACCGTCATAACATCAGAAAATCGCTTGTTCACTAAACTAGCTTTGCAGAACATCTGTGGAAAGCCTTGTTTGTCTAAAAAAATGTTTAGTGCACTTATACTTTCAGAACATATCAGCCGCATGTACAATTACTTTTTGGAACGTGATCATTACAGGATATTTATCATCTGTTATTTATATTTGATATTTATCATTTTGATGACATTTTTTGTATGCACGAATATCAGATTGGAAATTTTTTCAGCTATTTTAAATCTTTTTCAGATTTGTTTTAG